CATATCACGTTGAATGCTGATGTTTATAATGTCGTTTATTACGACCAAAGACAAGTGAAGTAAACTCCAGTGAAGTGTGGCTTAAATGGCGTCAGAGACATTTGCCAGATTAATGGCCACAGTCCCCCGAAGTCGAAGGGGGGCAGGGGAGACCGACAGGGGCGTGGCAACACCAACAACTGCAATCGCACACCAACCAAATTGTTTACATTTTAATTTCTGCAATTTTATTAGCTTAGCTCTGCGAAGTGTCGTCGCTTTTGAAAAGGGGGTTCATAAAGTGGGGTAAAGGGGGGTCTGAAAAGGAGGCACATGGCACGAGGCTTATCGCAGCGGCGTCTGTGGGTCCCAAAAGAAGGGGGGAGGGGGGCGGAAAAATGTGTTTGACGGGTGCTACTGGAAAACTTCATCAAGTTTCGCTGTGTGTAATAAGCGTGACAAATGCCAGGCAAATACAGTGGTCACTCCGCGGGGAATAACTCTGGCATTTGTTGAGATAATTAATAATCAGAAAATCAAATTCGTTTAAAATATAAACTATTATAAATATAAAACTGGATCAATCTTTTACAGCTGAAGCCACATTATTAGCTAACGACTTCTAACCACAAACATTAAAATAATTATTGAAAAATATAAAAGAAAAGTTCTTAAAATATTTTTTTTTAATTGTTTTCAACTGTTAAAGATTCCTCAATTTTATTAAAAAATTAACTTTTTTGAATTATATAATATAATAATATTAAATTAAAAGTCCTAGTTTGACCTTTTAACGTTTTTAGATCGTGTGTCTGTCTTGTGTCCTAAAAACCTACTCATTTTTGGAATTCATTTGCCAACCCCATTTCGTTTCAAACTTTTTTGTTTTATTGGCAAAGTGCGTCGCGTAATTATAATAATTATTATGGTCACCTCTATGGTTGTTGGACTGCCTCAAAAACTGGCCGTGAATCATATTTCCATGGCATTGCACATTTTCTGCTCGCAGTTTTGCAGAGCGAAATAACAAAGCCGAGTTGGCGAATCTGGGTTCTCGTTTTTGCCATTGTTGACAACAAATGAGCGCCATTTAATGCGCTTCCTAGTTGTTTGCCCCTGTTGTTGTTGTTGTTGCTGTCGTTGTTCGCCGGTTGTTATTCATTGTTCGTTGTTTGGCGTAATTAAGCAGCGCTTTTCCGTCTTCAGTCGCACCATCACTTTGCACTTGGCTTGCACTTTTCCAGCTTTCGGTTTTCGGTTTTCAGCGTTCAGTTTTCAGATCATTTACGAGCACTTGGCATTCGCCGTTCCACTTTGCCAAACATTTGCTTACAAGCATGTTTCGCTGTCCGCTCTTTTTGGTCTTTAGCTGGCGACTTGTTAGCGCCATGTTTACACTCTAGAAAATGCTTAATTAAATCTGTGATTGCTCCGAGCTTTCCCCCATTTTATTTTGGCCACTGGCGGAGTCATTCCACCCGTAGCCAAAAATTAACACTTCATTTAGCATAATTTCACACCATCTCTTCTTCCATCGCCTGACAAGTCCGTTCTGTCTTTTCCATTCTCACATTATGTAATCTTTCGCGCCTGGCCAAAAAAATCCCATAAACGAAAGGAGAAATTAAGTAAATTTTTGGGGGTTTTTATAACGAAGTTAGCGGTACCCTTTTATAAAAAAAAAAATATGAGAAGACACTTTTTGTTTATTACAATTTTGTTAGTTGCCTAATTAAATAAGAAAAATAATGGAAATTATGTTTTAAAAATTAGGGGTTTTTAAAATATCTGAACGATAAGTCTATAAACAATATTTAGTCAGCTATATATTTATTTTTTAAGCTTAAGAGAAGGATAAATCTAGGTATTATTTTTGACCAAGTAAAGCCCTTAAAAACGATTGGAAAACCCCTTTCAGTCCACAACTTCATCGATTTTAAGTGGCAACTTCTTTTGCGAGTTAATTAACACTTGGCAAGGGTATGGACATTTATACGGATATATGTGTATTTGTGTTTATCCAAACTCTGCCGGCCATAAATCAAAAATCTCGACACTCTCCCTGCTGCACCTCCTCCGCGAATCCGATCCCCGATTTCGCGTGCTAACAAGGCCCCAAAGCGGCGGAACCTTGGAGAACCCAGAAGAGAACTTCCAACGCGCGGCGCTCGACTGGCGTGAAAATTTATGTTTTTTTCAGCTTTTTGTTCACTTTATTTTATGAATATACATTCATATACATATATACATATATATTCTGGTGTATGGGGGCCAGCAAAAGAAGTGAGAAAAAGTTGAGCGGAGAGGAAAAGCAGGAAAAGCAAGAGCCAATGCCGTTGGCCACATTTGCTGGTGTAAAGTTTTTCGCATAGTTGTCAGCATTGCGCTGTTTAATTACCCTAATTAAGAATATTAATTGCCCTTCGGGTGGATAATAAAAAGCTAGGGTGATGGAGAGGGAGGTGAGGTGGTGACCCTATTCCCGGAAATAGAACATGAATTATGATATGCAAAAAAAAAACTTTCATTCCGTTTTCCATTTAAGTTGTGAAATCGAAAAAGTTGAGACAACTTTAAAGGGGGCCAGGGCAAGGACGAGGATACGGGGGTCTTCGTCCAGGACAAAGGACACGCACTCCATTAAACCAAAAGGGGCAGACATATGCGACAACAATAACAACAGCAATAGCAAGCCACTAACTGGCAGGAGGTGAAAGGTGAAAGGGGGCTGGCTGGGGCCGAAGGCCGAAGGATGAGCAGATGGACACAGGTGTCCTGTCGCTGGCCCATCAACACCTCTCCTCGGTCCTGCAAAAAAAAAACAACAACAACACACGCACACTCGGAAACGGACGGGTCCGGCTCTTTTCATTTTCTCAACACGTAAAGCAAACACGTGACCGTTAAGGACATGGACTCCTGCTGCCCCTTACTCTTAACCCCTGACCACCCCACATCCCGACCCACTCAGTTGTAGGCGCAAATTGCCAACAGAAGGACAATGACAACGAGTGCACTGGAAAAAAAGAGGAGGCAGTCATAGATTTTATAAGAAATATTTTGACAAAAAGTTGGTTTTATATTTTAAACACTTATCACACATATTGCGATTATAATTTTTTTCTAAGTTTCATTAATTTTAGGGAAACTATTCTTTAAATTCAATGATTTTCATTCTTGACTTTTGTTTACATTTTGAGGTTTATTTTGGTTAACTAAGAATAACCTTTTCTTTAATAGTAAAAATTGAACTTTAAAATATATAAAGATAAAGATTTAATGGTTAAATTCGAGACACTCTTTTCTAGAATAATTTTATTTTTGTAAGATTTGTTTTCTAGCTTCAAGATATTTTTCTTAGTGGACTACTGAGAGACCCCCCCATAAACTGACGGCTTATGGCAGACACAGCACAAAGCTTTGCCTCGCTCTGCTCCTGTTCCTGCTGCACCACCACCACCCCCCCCTTTGGCACCACCCCTGCCTTACACCACCCCATATCGCAGCTACGTGCGTGTGTGCACAATATTCATATATCACAAGGATAAGCGCAATGCAGCAAACGTCCTTCCAGACGTGCCGTTCGTTGTTGTTGTCGTTTGTGGTGCCTTGTCCTTTTCCCGAGCCAACTGCTTTCGTTTTGGTAGCAGAAGTGGCAGTGGCAGTAGCGGTAGCACCACCGCCCCCCTTCTGCGCCCATGCTCTTGGTGTGTGTGTGGTAACTTTTAATTATTTGCGAATGTTGGCGCCAGACGGCGAGATGCGATGCGATCCTGTCCAGGACTGTCGCCCATTTCATCCTGTCTCCTTTCCTTCATTGATTTCGCTGACCAGAAGTTTAGAGTGGTGAGGAGGGGGAGGGGGGTGGTTGACCAAAAGGGGGTGGTGCGCCGGTCAAGGCGAAGGCAGCGCCAAAATCCAAAGGCCCCATAAACTTTGAGCGCCATAAAATCTGCTGGCAGCACCATAAAAATTCCCACAGCGGGAGTTGGAGTCTGGAGACTGTACCAGGAATCCTTCCCCCAAAAAAGGACCCCCTTGTACTACGCTCTTCTCATCTGTGCATCCCTTTCCCACCCGTATAGACAAACGCATAAAACTAACGCAGCGTAAATGCCGCCGTTGTTGTCATCTGTCTTCTCGTTACGTTATTTCTTTTTGGCAGCTTCAGCACAAAATTTATCTTATTTATTTGTTTGACTGAAAGCCAACACACAAACGGATGCCGAGGAAATTGCTGCATTTTGATGCTTGACTGATTGCTACCGAAAATATTTGTATATTTAATTTAATTTCCCTTAACCCCCACAATTCTACGTAACAGAATTCTACTTAACCCAATTCTTTGTAAGCTTAGCGTAGGAGTAACAGTGATCTGGCAACGCTGCGCGTGCAAAAGAGATGCCTAGATGGTTCTTTTCTGCATGGGCGTGTTAAAGCGAGATAGCTAGACTTTCTTTTTCCCGAAAGTTTCTCGCGAAAGGAGTCAAATTTTTCGCCTCCGCAAATCTTTATTTAAATCAAGCATCCTACTTGCAAAATTACCATTGTGATTCTCTATAGTTAACTAAAGTGATCTGTGTCTTCTATAATGGCTTATATTCTGCGCAAAAATTCTTTAAAAGAAATGGTGGTGGGTGTTACATTTCACAAAATTCTGCCGACAACAAAATATGATCTAGACTTCATGTGTTAAAAATAATTAATACATGGTTTTAAAAATTTTTATTGATTTCAGGTTTAAATGTAAAATGTTGGTTAACTTGTTCAAAAAAGAACAAAAAATGCAAGTCATTGGAGAAAAAATATTTGTAGGTTAGGTTTTTGGTGAAAAAGAATTGGTTTTTACGTGAGTTGTTTGTGTCTTCAAATCCGAAACTAATTTTTAACTATATTTTAAATATCTAACAGATATTATTAACATTAACATGTATTAATTTATTTTAACAACAGAAAGTTAATTTTTTAAATGTTTTTTTTTCCATAATTAATTTATATAAATTGTTTTCTTTTATTTGCAGGCCACACGGTCTCGCCAGTTATCCCGCAAGAATCCCAGCCCACGCAGGCTGGAATACTTGGGGCCGGATCCGTCAAGGTCATTGAAGTTGCCACGCCCCCAAACCGCAACCCAATCCCAGCCAGAAGCCTCCAATCCGCAGGAGACGCCGCCGCCGACGCAGCTGAAGCCACAAAAAGTTGACCTCATGACGATGGCAGAAGGCACCGACCCCATGGGGCATGGTCACCACACGAATCCGCACAATCCTCCGCCCCAGCCGCCGCAGCACCACCCGCACCACCTGCCCCTGCCCCACCCGCCGCCGGCCCCGCCCCCACAGCTCCTCAATTTCAATCACCACCAGCAGCAGTATCTTCCGCACATGTATCCTGCGCCCGCTTCGGCGGCCCAATCTCACTCCCACTACGGCGGCATGCAGTATCCGCATCCGCATGCCCTGCAGCAGCACCACCAGCAGCAACAGCACCACCACCACCATCCCCACCAGCACCACCTGCCACTGGCGCTGAGCCTGCACCAACAGGCGGCGGCTGCGGCGGCGGTGGCTGCGGCGGTGGCCACCAACCACTCCAATAACAACAACCAGGCCAGTGTGGCCAATAACAATATAGTGGTTCCATGGAAGCAGCGTAAGCGCAAGCGACTCTCGGCGGTGCTGGACAAACTGCACCACCATAATAATAACAATAACAATGAGACCCACTCCAATGGTCTCGCTTGCAAGGCGGAACCCATGGAAATGGAGGAGGAGATGGCCGAGGACCAGGAACAGGATGAGGAGGATCATGACGAATCCATACCCGATGAGGAGGATGATGATCAGGAGGAGGATCCCGGCAAGTACATCAAAAGCGAGCAGCCCGTCAGCGAGGACGAGGAGAACGAACCGGAAATGGACAACGAGAACGAGGACATTTCCGGCGAGGATCTCGAGCTGTCGCACAGCGATGATAACGATCAGGATAGCCCCAGGATCAGCATGAGTCCCCTGCAATTGCAGGCCTCCCAGAGCAATCTGCCTCAAGATCAGAATCAAGCAATCAACAAAGAGAACCCGCTGCATGTGGACATCAAGACTGAGATCCCCAGCCCCTATGATAGGTATTTCCCGATACCATCTCCTCTCTTTGGCTACTACCTGCACACCAAGTATCTGAACGAGGTGTTCCGCCGGCGTCACGATTTCTATCCCTCGCCCCTGCAGCACACCCCATCTTCGATAGCCTCCGAGACGGAGACTTCGCCCACTTCGCAGGAGCGCAAGAGCAACTCCAATCATCTTCTGCCCCATGCCCTGTTGGCCAATAACTCGCCGCCGCCATCGCTGCCATCGCCACCGCGCAGTGAATCCTCGGTGAGCAATAGTGTGGCCACCACCACCACCACTACCACAACCACCAAGAAGCGCACCAGTCCCAAACCCAGGGGCAAGAAGGGCGAGAAGAAGCCGATGCCGCCGCCGCAGGAGCGTCCTTTGGATCTGTGCATGCGCAGCGAGGTGGAGACCAAGAAGTACAAAAAGTCCAACTCGAAATCCTCTCAAGAATCCCGCTCGGCGGCCATGATGCCACCACCGCCGGCTCTGAGTGCGGCCAGCAGTTTGGAGAGCATGAGTGCCCTGTCCCCGGCATCGAGTAGCCACTCGGGTCACATGCCCATCACCACCGCTGCCACGCCCAATCACCAGCCTCCGCCCAATTCCCCATATGCCAATGCCATGAACGCTGCCCAAGCAGCGGCAGCGGCGGCGGCGGCAGCGATGATCAAGATGGAGATGCCATTGCATCCGCTGCACCACCAGCAGATGCACCACTCGCAGGTGCCCACCACCACGGTGGGTGTGCCGGTGATCAAGGGCGATGTGGCCTCGCCCACAACCAAGGAGACGGTGGCCTGGCGATACAACTTGGATGTTTCGCCCGTTGTGGAGGAGATGCCGCCGGGTTCGGATGTGGCCTACGTTTGCCCCACCTGCGGACAGATGTTCTCGCTGCACGATCGCCTGGCCAAGCACATGGCCTCGCGTCACAAGTCCCGGAATCCCGCCAACGATATTGCCAAAGCCTATTCCTGCGAAGTGTGCCGGCGATCCTTTGCCCGCTCCGACATGCTGACCCGCCACATGCGCCTGCACACGGGGGTCAAGCCGTACACGTGCAAGGTGTGCGGCCAGGTGTTCTCCCGCTCGGACCACCTGTCCACCCACCAGAGGACCCACACCGGCGAGAAGCCCTACAAGTGTCCGCAGTGTCCGTATGCGGCATGTCGCCGGGACATGATCACCAGGCACATGCGGACCCACACGCGATACGACTCCAGGGGCGGATCGCGGGAGGGCAGGGAGGGGCGCGAAGGACGCGAGGGCAGGGAGAGCCGCGAATCACGCAGGAGCGGCGATAGAATGGAGGAGCCCAAGTCGCCCAGTTCACATCCACTGCTCGACATGAAGATGAACATGAACATGGGCATGGGAATGGGCCTCAACATGGGCCTGCCCATGAATCCGATGAGTCTGCTGCAGGAGGAACTGCTGCAGAAATCCCAGCCTGGCCTGACCCTCGGCGGACCCATGCCTCTGGTGGTCAAGACGGAAAGCGCCTAACGGTATCTATATGCAGCAGCATCCAGGCGATTTATGACCTGTTAGGTAGGCAACGTCATCCATTGACGGGCCCAGCTTAGTGCTACAAAAAAGAAAATCTAAAAAAACAACAAAACAAAACATATTAACTAGAGCAGTTTGTACTTGTACCGGAAATCTCTGCGAAGACTGAGGAACCTTAATACTACCTACAGTTTAAATAGGCTAAAGAACCATCAACTAATTTTTTAAAAGACACAGAGGGCTGCACTCAAGACCACCCAACGTATTAGCACTTAAACTAGTTCTAGTTGCTAGATCCCCTCGCGTTAAATGAACCCCCAGGAGTTTAGATAGCCGGGATCTTCGATACAGCTAGCAATTCCATGTTCCACACTTAGGCTATACTATATATATATACATGATATATAGGCGGTCAGATCCCCCCGATGATCTGATCTCTCAGCATTTTGAGCAACGTTGAAATTATTAAGCTAGACTCGCTACATAGGCTAATAGGAAATGCCACATCGGCAGTCGGCGTTAGATTCGTACTCCTACTTTTAATTAACTCTTAATTTATTTGTAACATTACTCAGCAGCATGTAAACTTATACCACAACAGTTTGTATTAATTTAATTTTACTCTATTTTATTTAATTTAATTGTAGCCTACATGAAAACACAAACAAAAGACAAAGAATTCTCCCTAGGGCTCAAAAAAAAAACAAAAACAACAAACACACAAAACAAACTCATTTGTATGGAAATCTTAAAAGAAAAGCTAACGCTAAACAAACAAAAAAACAATTCCTTTTTTTTGTTCAACAAAAACACTGTTAAATTTAAATTATCTTTGTAATTGATTTTATGCTCGCTTTTCTACTATTTTACTACTTTTTGTTTTCATGAAATGAAATAAAAACCTTTAAGTTTTCTTTAGTTCATAAACCATCTTTGGATTGGACACACCTCACCCCTCTCCGATCCCCCAGGTGTGGACAGGTTAACCCGTTTGTCCCCCCGGGGTCGGAAATTCCCTTCGGGGTCGTTTCCATGTTTCAAGTTGAAGTTTTTCGTTATTTATTATAAAAAAAAAAGAAACAAAGCCCCGACTCCCGCTTATTGATTATTAGTTCTTAGCTAAACGTTTAAATAAATTATTAACTTATGTTATTCTAGTTGGTTATGATTAGCTCCTAGTTAAAAACGTTTTTCACAAAATAAAACAAAACAAAGTCTACACACAGATGGACAATGTCAAACAAAACAGAATTTAAAGCCAACGCATTTTGTTATTATTTCAATTGGTTATTATTATTTTCAGATTTTTTTGGTTTCCAGATTTTTATACTTTCAGATTTCTATGATTTTAAGAATATAATTTCATGGAATGAATTATGTTTTTAAGTAAGTGCACTGCAATAACGGATGGACGAGAGCTGTTAAAATTTTAATGATTTATACTTTAAAGATTTTTATTTTGAAAGTTTTCATTAAAGCTACTCTATGAGCAAGTTTTAGAGCAATTATTACAATGATCACATTTTTGAAGCATTTAAGTTAAATAATACTCTTTTTCTATACAAGCTTTAATATATTTAAGCGTTTCGTTTTAACAGCTGTCCACCCATTTCGGTAATTATTTCAATGATTAGCAGTGTGGATTTTTCAAGCATTTTTTTGGCCTACCCTAAAACCTATACTTTTGGCATATTTTTTGTGTTTTAGCCGGAGACGATGTCGTAGATTTAGCCGTAGTCGCAGCCGGAGCCGGAAACTGGCTTACAAGCTTTTAGGCAATGGGAATCGCTTACAAGGCGCAGTCAGCTCCTTTCGCCGGTCACGAAACTGCATTTTGGCACGCAGCCCCCGCTTTTCCCACCCACTCCTCGCTTTTCGGCTGGTTTTTCCCACGCTGAGGATGCGGGGGTGCTGAGCTGGAGGAGCAGAGCACCGATTCCAAGTCCTTGTTCTTCGCATGGAAATTTTCTTGGGGCCTAATGGCCTCGAAACACGAAGAAGGCCGTCCAGGCGTGGGAGTTCCATGGGTGGTGGTTTGTGTGGGGGGTGGGTGGGGCTTACTCTGCGGTGGGACTTGCTGCATTGCAGTTTGCGGCTAATGTCTGACCTTGTTTTGCAATGACTAAATTAATTCCTTAATAAGTGCGGTTGCAAAACAAACACGAAACTGCAGACGTGGCACAGTTGGCGAATTTGCCAGGCACACCCACACCTAACCACCCCCCGCCCCGGAATTTCCACCGCCCTCTGCTTGTGTAATTAAGCAGTGAAAATGCCCCAATTGACAGACATTGTGTTGGCTGCGGAAAATGGAGGAGTTTCGCATCTCTGGGGCAATAAATCAGGGCGAGGGGCAGCCGCAACTATGGCTAAGTAGCCATCGTGTTGCAGCTAGCATGTTGCACTCCATCACTTTTCACGGGCGGGGCGGGGCGGAAAAAGGGGGTTCCGTGGAGGGTGACTTATGGCCCAAACTGTATTAGCCGGGCCTAGATGTGATGATGCCGCATTGCATAATCCGCTCGGGTCGTGCATCATTTTGGTCAACATCGCCATCGCCTGACATTATTTGCAGCTTGCAGCGGATTTTTCTCCTTTTTCAAATACCCTCCATTAAGTAAAAGGGGAGTATATTTGTGAAATGAAGACCTTTGATACCTAGTTAACAAACTCTTTAAGACCCTCAATGTGGTGTTTTTGCCTTATTATCAAAACGAACTTTAAGGAGCTGCAAAAAAATAATTAATTCTATAATTTGTTTTAACATTTGCAATATATCATTTTAGGTATGCATTTCATTTTTAAATTAATTTTTGTCTCATTGTTTAATATTGCAGCTAAAATATTATTATTTTACTTACTTCTTTTACATAAACTCAGAAAGTTTTTTTATTTATTTTCCTTAAAATACCTATAAATTTTGAAGTTCTAATCAAATTATTTTGTATTGAAATATATGTTTCTCTTGTAAAATTTTTCTTGAAAAAGATGAAATCAGATGTCTTATTCCTATCAATATTTTTATGCCGCAGTAAATTGTGTTAGCCTATATTTGTTCACCCAGTTCAAGTGGTCATCTAGTGGTCGGATATCGCGGTTATACTATTTTTACGCGTTCTCCTCTATTTTCACTCGGTTCTATTCTGTGGCACGCATAAATCTCTAAACAAGGCGCGCGTGTCGTGCGTTTATTATCACTTCCTCTCCACAAATCCTGGGGCGGGGTGGTGGGGGGGTGGTGCAGGGATTCAGATTCAGGGGGATGGCTGGCATCCAACTTTTCTTTTGTCTCCACTCGAGAAATTTATCGCCGTCATTTGTAATTGTAGCGCGAAAATTGAGTTTGAGTTTGAAGTTTGGCCAGGGTGGTCAGGGGTGCGGGATGACAGGGAGACAGGGTTGTCGCCGTTCGCCAGTTTATGCATTGTTTCCATCAACATAATTCAGTTTGGCTTTGGATCAGCTCCAAGTGATTGTTTCGCCTGGCGGAGATTTACGGGCACTAAGCTGGGACCGCTCACAGAAAACCAGCTAACGATATTGTATATACACATCCATAAATAGAGAAATAGATCGAGATTTATACCTAGATATAGTGCTATATATTTCCGTCACACGGAAGTGCCTTAACAACAACAACAAAAAAATTTTTGATACTCAACAAGAATAAAAAAACTAAGCAACAACTAAAATTGAGATATTGTAAGATAGAATTTTTTGCCTTGTACATTGAGCGACTTTTGCCAGGCTAAATCAACTTTTTGACTAATGATAAACGAAAAAAAATGATAAGGGTTAGCCCATGCAAGGGCATATATATATATAAAGTATATTTACCAGAAATACGTAACATATTTTTAACGAAAAGAAAGCATAGCAATAAGATTTTTCAACTTAACGCTTCTAAGAAGTTAAAAATTTTAAGCATTAAATGCTAAACGCATCCAGTCAAGTATTTTTTACTAAAAATCCATTTACTAGACTCAAACAAACGCCTAAAAAGTAAAACAAAAAAAAAACTTTTAACATTTAAAAAAAAGTTATTCACTCAACTTAACTCAAGTAAATTTACGAATCGCTTTCAGAAATATTTTTATAGCGCTTTTCGACTTTTAAATCAGAAATCAAAAGATCTAAACTATGTAAATTAAAGCAATAACTATAATAGCTAATCGATCAAAAGACTTTTCAACTCTTAGCTTACATTTGCCTTCTAGTCTTAAGAATTCCAGAATCAAAGATAAGCTATGGATATAAAATAAAACAATTTTATCGAAATTGCATTGAAGTGGAGAGAATCAGCGAGCAACATTGTGATATTAGTTGAGAACAAAATCGAATCACTTCCAACTGCTAGTTATGCTATCATTTTGGGATCCTGTGGATGCCCAAAATCCAAGCCCCCAAATCCCAACCCCAATCCGATCTTCCAATTCGATTAAGGTGCTATTTAGTTCAATCTTATCTTACGGTGCTGTGTACAGTGAAAAAAACGCTTGGTTAGTTTAAGTTCCCCTTCTTCACTCCCCTCAACACTCTGAGAATCCTTAGCTGCCCAAAAAACATAATCCATTATTGTACTAAAGTCTCTAGGAACTCTCTACGCTAACGTTTAACTAAATTATGAATAACTACGAGTATTTCCATTAAGTCTACTCTAATTAGTTTCTCTTCCATCGCAAAAATACGAAAATAAATAAACGAAACGAAAACGAAAACTGAAAGCTTGAGAGGATCGGATTTTTGGAATGCGCAGCTAATGTAAAATGTCTTCTGCCCTGCAGTCTTAACTGAATGCAATCAGGCGGGGATGGGATGGGGCTTCCACATCGGGATGGGAGGATGAGGATGAGGACGAGGATGCATTGGGACACCGAAGGGCTGCGGCAGAAATAATGCGCGTAATAACAAACTGCAGGCGTAACTGAAATGCCAGGCTACTGCGCATTTGTCCAGCTATCCACTGAGAAAAAAGGTGAGTCTACTTTACATTTTCTCCTATAGAATCTTGATTTTTAAAAAAAATATTGAATCCTTTAATTCAAACGGAAACATTAATAGGTACTTGTATTTAACCAGTTTTTAATAGTATATGAAGGCTAAGGTGAGAACGGTTCATGATCTGAAAGTTATCATATGCCGAAGATAGGGTTTGGTGACCTCAAATTTTCCGAAATGTGGCATTGCAACATGTTAACAGTCCTTAACTATTAAAGTCCGATTTCAAATTTAAAATTCCTCATTCAGTTGAGCTGTCCTTAATATAAATTTGTTTATTTGAGTTTTGATTAGCTAATTCTGGTCATTGGTGACCCCAATAATAATGTGTTTTTAAAGATTAGGTCATCTCAGATAAAGTCATTATTTCGAGGACAAACATTATTTGCAGCATCTAATGGAAATCTATGGATTGCAGATAAATATATTCTTATTTATTAATCTTTTAAATATGTTTCCTAAATCAACAGTTTCGTTTGAGATCATATTTAAATTTAGTTTTGCTCAGTGTGGAATTGGCGAAGGCGTTGGCCCCGACGGACGGGAGGCGCAACTGCGGTAATTACAATTGCCGCCGGACATGGACGGCAGAAGCGGCACCACCGCACTACTGCACCACCGAACCACCGCAGCACCGCACCACCGAAAGCGAGTTGCACAGTGGCAGGCACAGCTGTGTGGCTCCGTCAGTGGATCCTCGCTTTTCGAGTCCCTGCCCAAGAGACAATTATATGCTGCCACAGACGCATGCGCAGCTTCCTGGGTTGCTGCTGCATTTCGTTTTTACGTTTTTATTTGAGCAAATTGCTGGCAACTTTGCGCTGACTGACTGACTGACTGAATGATAGACTCACTGACTGCTCCGGAGTCCGGGTTTTTGAGTCCGATCCTCAGTGACTGACAGTTGCCAAGGCTGGGACCCCAACTCAGCGGCTCCCCGACTTCGGAAACTCCCCTCCAGCTCTCCTCCAAAATATCTACGTGCGGGCGTTTTGCTCAAGAATGCTCTCGGGTCGCTGGTCTCGAACGATAATGATGATTGCAGTCTAAATTATGATGCCGGGCTGCTGTACAGAGAGAAAGTGTAGCATCAGCAGCAACATCAGCAGCAGCATCAGCAGCATCAACTCAGCAGCAGCAGCAACAGAAGCTGCCTGCAACATCATCGACCTGGCAAGCAGCTACTCCTCCTCTTCCTTTGCGGATCAGGGCTGGAATGCAGTGGGTTCCCCACTTTATTTTTTGAGGTTCCATTGCAACCAGTATCAGAAAAGTGCGAGGGTACGATTTAAAATCATTTAATATCTTTACAGCCTAAAATAAAAATTACCCCTGAAGTAAAACTCATGTTCACAATCCGGCAGTTGCTGTTTATGGAACCTTCATCAAAAATATGTATACAATTTTCATAAAGCTAGGTCAATTTTCTGTCTTAAAGCCTTGTCTGAAACTTCCTCTATAAAGTATGAGTAATGTCTCAATAAAAATATGTATTTGGTTTATTATTGGGTATTATTACAATAATAACATAATGCACTTAACTAGTAAAAACAAAAAGGAATTATTTTTTTTGGGTCAAAAATAAACAATACTTAAAGTTCTATCAGACAGTTTGTATGTTATGCCTTGGATTGGAACAAATGTTTAAAAATAAGCCCTTAATCTGTATTCTACTTTAATAAGTACTTTACGGAAATATATAATATATTTGAATATTTCGTGTACCAGGGAGTATGATAATATTTATTTATTTTAAATCAGATATTAATTATGTTTAAAGGAAAATTTTTTCAAGTACGCTTTGGAATATATATGCTTACATTTTTTGACACCAATATCTATTCTTTTCGGGAGTTTTCGTTTTTATATTTTGTGATTATGTTTATTGGGTTCTAAGCAACCATTGGTTATGTGTCCTTTTGAAAATATAAATAAATATTATATTAGAATTATTATTATTAATATAGTTCCTTTTTTCGAGTTCCCCTGAATCCGCTCCTGGTTTGTTTAGCATAGCTCCACGCCGCTGGCCTCGCAGCGAAGCAGAGGAAGCGCAAAAAATCTCATAATTGCAAAGCAGTTTGCCGCAGGTGCGCCACCCGCCCTGGATGTGGATGTATATAGGATGTGGATGTGGATGTGGCTGGGGATTGGGTATTGGGCATTGGGTACTGGGTACTGGGGATTGGGGATGTACCTGGGACGTACCTGGACGGAGGACGCCAGATGAGCAGCCCCGATAAAACGGCGAACTGCACGTAAGTAGATGTGTTGTTGTTGTTGGCGTTGCCTTGATGTTGCTGATGTTACTGCAGCAACATCCGATGGCAAAAAACTTGGTCTCGTTCTCGTATTTAATGCATTTGATCCTTGATGCTGTTGAAAATGAACTGAGCCCGAACATGCAATCAAGTTGAGTTGAGTTGCCCGTCCCCCCATCCTCTCTTTTGCCAATCTTGGCAATTTCATGAATGAAAACTTGGCTCGTTTGTGGAGTTTGCATGTTTCGGCTTTCCGATATACACGCACACCCACACGCCTCAAAAAAAAAATAAAAAAGGAAAAGGAAAAAGGGGCCCGAATGGGATTTGTGAACTAGCAGCAACATTCTGCGTCTGTTGCAGCTGCAGCGCATTAACCTCGTTCGTTCGTCTTGAGTCTCCCAATCCGAATCCGAAAACTCCTTCTCCGACTCTGGCAAAATATTTACCAAAGTGATTAAGATGCCTGAGTAATTTTTAACACAATTACGCTGCCAAACAGACGACGCTGGAGTTGGAGTTGCTGCTGCTGTTGCTGCTGCGTTTGCTACCTCACTTACACCGCAGCAACATCGCAGCAACGTTGCAGCTGCAATGCTGCTAATGACCAGGCACAGGCTGCAATATAAACTGTGGCATTGTCTGGAGTGAGCCCCCTTGCCCCCTCTTACCCCCCTTCTGTTACCCCTTTTGCGAACACCCAGCGACTTGTGTGTCTTTGCCATTAGCGCTGCCACACTAGGCTGGCTTTAATCGTAGCGAGGCGACTACTTCGCGGCTCAAAATCAACAGAAAAACCACCAAAGCCAGGCGGGTGTTCACGCATCACTGTTTTTTGACAGCCTATTTTTTTTTTTTTGCCTAGAAAGAGTCTCTTCTACGATTCCCAGTGTGATTTATCGAATTTATGAAGCTTTGGCAGGTGTTGAGCTCTCGCTGTTGCAAGACGCATCATCATCGTCCCATGGCACACAATGTTGCCCCATTCAACGCACGACAGGCCGCAAAAAGAGTCGTGCCGCATTTGGTTCAGTTTTGGGGCTTCGTGTGGCACGACTTTTTGCTTCTGCCTCAGAGAGTCCATTCAGATTGCCGTGAATATGTGCACAAATGCACCAAGAGTCGGGCCATTTGTACAAAATATTTGTCAACGCGGCACTGAGAGAACAAATTGCTGCTAACTTGTTATTTTTTGTGAAGACAACTGGGAATCGAGTTTTTAGATAGCTCGACATCAAAGCGGAAAATAAATAATAAAGGAAATCAATTGATTTGTTTACTTTTTCAGTCGATAATTCACAACAAATTATTAAAAACCATTTTTTAGCTAAACAAACTGGTTTTGAAAATAAAAAAATTAAAAAGGTATGGCTTTATTTATTTACTTTTTGTCGCATATTAATTTATATTTATTTGGTTTGCGGAACATATTGATAAATAAACAGCAAGAGTTCTGTCCAAATTGGCTATTTAATCGAAGTTTTGATATATTTTATTTTGGCTTAGATTAGAAAACCATAAAAATTATTTAGAATCCTAAAATACTTAAAAGACTTCCTTTAAAGAGTCTTTAACATATAAGTATATATTTTATTTTATTTGTTCAACTTGTTGGAGGAGTGGTACCAAGTGCTTAACCATATATTATAAGTTTTTAAATAAATCCTAAGTAGCTAAGAAATTGGTCATAATTATCTAAATCGTTAATTTATTAAACTTAGAATACTAGTCTAATTAAATTAGAAGAGCATTAGATAAAGTTTCGCTGTCTGTGTCGGAAAAGCTATCTGTGGATGGGGTTAGCGCAAAAGGGGAAAAGGCCAGAAAGCCTCAACTCCTGGCTATGAGTCTAATTTCCTCATAGCTTAGTACCTCCTTGTCCTCCTGCTCCGGCGGCTCAATGAAAATGAAAATGAGCTCGGCACGCGTTGCCATGGCGCACGACTGGAAAATTGCAGAAGCCGCTTGGCTGCACTTGCGAAAAAGGGGAAGCTTTTGGGTCGGAGGGTGCCCATTTCTGTTCCCGTTCCCATTCCCTCTTTAGCTCTTTTAGCCACTTTTCAGTGGTGTTTCGGCCACGTGTTGCGCATGCGCTTAACTTGGCTCTGGGGTCCAAGTCGAGAGCTCTGGACATAAGCACGACGCCCTCAGCGTTTGTTTGTCAGGGTCGACTGCGTTGCAAGTTGCCAGTTGCAAGTTGCCGGTTGCAAGTTGCAGGTTTGCCAGTTTGCCAGTTGCAACTCGAAACTGCCGCATCGTGCAGCGGCCGTTGCAATTGTTCTTCCCCCAGCGAGTGGATGGCGTGAGGCAGGCACGGCAGCAACACCATCGACACCGCAGCAACACCGCCGACACCGCAGCAACACTAGCCGCACCGGCAACACCTTCACTCTCTTTAACAGCGATATCGCGATGATGTATGGTCATGGCTGCCCCAGGAACCCCCCTCCCCCCACACCTGCCTTCTCAAGGCCCCCTTTTCGAAGCCCCTCTTCTCGGATTGTAGGCGTCAACTCACGTTTATGCTTTGTAGACATTATCGCGCCTGTTTATCTTTAAATTGCAAGTAAATTACTTTCGGCTCGCACAGCGGATGATAAATTGTCTGGGCCGCGTTGAAGGCTCTGACGGATGCAATGCATCCAAATCGGGGTGGTGAATGGGGGAGGGGGAGGAGGGAAATGGGAAAGTATCAAGCTCTTCCAATTATTCGCTGACTGAACTCACAGATTCTCACCCGTTTATCCGAACATTCCGTGAGAAAGCTTAACGCTTAATAAATTCAATATTATATTAGAAAATCGCGAAAGGGAATGACTAACCAATGGGTGGTGTAAGGTAGCAATTATAAGTTGGTAAGAGAAATCGATTTTTAAACTATTTATTGCAGTTAAGTGATCAGAAAAGTAATATATTTATTTTCCTAATTAATTATCAAATATTGTTGATGGTTATTTGTCTTTAATTGAATTAAATAAAAATCAATATGTTAATCTGTTTCAAGAATCACTAAATTTTAAATTCTTTAAAGTTTATATTATGTGAAATCAATTCTTAAAATTTGTGGTCTTGTAATTGTTGCAAAATATTTGTTTTTTGGTATTCATTATTGCAAGAACTTAAAATCAAGAAAATAATGACACAACTATAAATCAAAACACGTCTGTATTTACATTGGACTTAAATATTTATTTTTATAAAAATCCTGAGTTTATCTTTCAAATTTTCACCCGTTCGTTTGAGTTTTTTTTCGTAGACTAAACTAAGTGCTTAATAAATTAACAATAAAAGAGCGTTTGGCTAGTCAGTGGTTTTATGGGCAATGGATGTTTTTGGAATCTCTCAATAATGGGTCTCGGTGATCCTGACCTTGCCGTACTTGTTGTGCAGTGCATGTTTGGCAAAGGACAGAAGGTTCGAGTGGCTGTGGACATCGAAGTGGGATGGAACCACATTGTGGTGCACCACGGCGGCATGGGTGTCAACGTGATGGTGATGAACCACCGGAGCGGAATGCAGACGGGCGTAGTGGTAGTGGTGCGGCTCATGGTGGTACACAGTGGTTGGCAGGGACTCCACCAGATGATGATCCAAATGGTGATCCAGGTGGTGGTTCAGATGGTGGTCATCGTGCACAAGTGCGGCACTGTGTCCCAAATGGATGCCATCCGAATGGTGGATCTCGGCGTCCAACAGATGCGGCAGCTCCTCGTGGTGGTAACCATGATGGCCATCCAGATGGGGCAGAAGACCAGCCTGTGCCACGCCCACCAAAGCCAAGATGCACACGAAGAACTGGATTTAAAAAAATGGAATTTTAGTTAAGACATGAGGTAAAATAGATATAAATTGGGAATTATTTTCTAGAAACTTAATATCCAAAAGCTTATTAAAATCAATTATAATGGGATAAAATAATATAATAATTACGTTCTTTTAAAATAAGGTTGTCTTAATAAATTTCGCAAATACTTAAAAAGGAATATAAAACAATCCAAAAGATTTTATGAATGTGAACATAAACTTTAAAACTTTTATTCTACAAAACTCTGAGGTAAAATTATGTCACTGCTGATCTTGTATACTTTTTATCTTTGTTCTAGTATTATTACTTTTATTTTTTTTAACAAACTGTTAAGCAATAAATTTCTTAGCTTTTTCACCCTAAAATCCTTTAAGGCTTAAAGTAATTTGCTCACCTTCATTATTAAAGATTCCTTGCTTAAGTTGAGGGGTTATCCAATTGCTGAGCTTGCGCTTTGTCGGTTGAACTGTTGTCGTTTGACTGTGCCTGAATCGAATCGAACCCTATCGTTTTATAGAAGGCTCGGCGCAAAGAAAATTCAAACGAAATCGAAATTGTCGCCGAGGACGTGATCCGAATTAATGGCGGTTCGAGTGAATGAAGGGTCTTCCCTCATTATGTAAGGGGAGTGCAGAGGGGCCGACAGTCAATAAACCTTAAGTAGGTGCCGCCCGATCGTGTCATAATTTTATGGCCCACAGCCCCAGTGCAATTGTTAATGAGTAGACTCTGCAATTTGGCAATCCGAGCAGTGAAAGCCCCACAATGAGTGACCAACATTTTGCCGGGCTTCAATCAAACGGGGACGTGAGCAGTCCAAATATTTGGCAAACATCTCGGATGGAGGTGCGAAAATGTGATCGACGCAAGTCGCAACTCGGAGATTCAAAATCGAAAATCGCGATGTGTGTGGGTGCTGGTGGCGATCGCAAATAGAAGAGGTGCCAGAAATACCTGGAACCGCTTTGTTGGAGGATCAACAGACGCGTTGAGGTGAGCGACGCGTAAAGAATCAATTGGACGCTAATTGAATAGATCACTCCCACAAGATGCCAATTAGAGACTTCGTAACCTAGAGCCGAAGTGGTGCAAACTTGTAAAATAAATACAAGGTAGCAAACTGAACTCATTATGTTATGCATTATTCACATGGGACTAACCGAAAATGGCATACGATTAACTTAACAAATTAGTTTCATCTTTATAAGCCTGTTGCTCATTACTAAAACAAGCAAGGGATTTACATAAAAATATAGAATGTTGAATTAATAAAAGAATTAAACTAATAATAACAAAAAAGACAAAAATAAATCGAAAAATATTTTAAATAATTACACATTCTTATCTAGTGATTTTAATTGTTGGTATAATAACTTACATTTGTAACCAACTCTCTACAACTTAAATAATTGCATATTAATAAGCCACTCCGATTTTTTAAATACTTTTAATTAAGTCTGCCATAAAATTTAAATAAAGCTTAGTAGAGACCATAAAATCACAATTGATTGTACACTATCTTGATCTACCATGCAACTACTATGCAACTTGTAATAAAAAACATGTGAATATAAAATTTTATTAATCTGCTAATAAATGGCTAAAGTTTATGAGCCTGAACAAAAACGTATAGCTTTACACTCGTGTATTTTAATTGTTCGAAAATGGAGTTAGTATTGCCAAACAATCTCCCGCCGGAATAATTCAATTTTAGTACATATGGATTTCCCAATCCAACGCCAGCGAATTTCCCAATCCGAGTCCCTGGACTGCTGACTTCCTGTCACCGACGTGCCGACAAAAAACACGTTCCATAAGTCAGCACCAAGAAACATGAATAAATCAGTCTGATAAGAGTCAGCACCACCGCACCACCGAGCCACTGAACCACCGCACCACCTGCTGGGAGATGTGGGTCAGCCTGCAGCTAATTACATAATAATTTGGTCAATCAAACGACGCCGTGTTAATGAGCCGCACTGTATGCAGGTGACAAGCCAACTCCACCGAACTTGGTTAACAGGTGGCAAAGGGGGTGGTGTTTCCAGGGGGGGGAATCGGGTGGTTCAGGGCGCAGGGGAGGTGCTATCGGCATACTGAACCCACGTGCTACGTGCGAACAACTTGAAATGCCAGACAGGTGTCGTGCCCCAATAAGTCAGCGCGATGCGAATTTGTTTTGGGGTTCAAAAGCGCGATCGCAATTTGTGCACGCCTGACAAATGGCCAAAATAAAAGTGAAACATTCTGCCCAGAACGTAGGTTTTATATAACTCGGCAATCAGTTAGCCAATATATCTGCTCAGGCCGTATACATGTCAGCAAAAAAAGAGAAAAAGGGTCGGTGAGTAAATAAAAATAATTAAATACTTATTTATTGTTTGCCGCCGGTGTCTCACCTATAACAAACCAATAAATAGTATAGTGGATAGCAAACGGAAACCACTTCAATACGTTTTATTATTTCAATATAAATTAAAAAAATATTCCTTATTTATCTGACTTAAATTTAATAACAAAAAATATTTTATATAATGTCTGTTAAATAAATTGTATAACTAAAATCCGAAAAAAACAGCTTAAGGTTCGATTTTTTTTATCGAAATACTTGGGACTAATGGCCAAAAGTTGGATTGTCATACCTATTTAAATTCGATTTAAAATTTCCAACCGATTGGCATTCTCAGTTAAAAAATTAAATTTTTTTCCTATTTTCACACAAATAATGATGAAACCCCTTATAAAGAAAAGGAGAAAATCGGTCAGAAAATTTTTCAATAACATCCAGGAGTTTTTTCATAAAACAAGAAATATTTCAAGTATAGACTCGATATAAAAATCAAAATAACATAGAAATCCTACTTCGAATTCACAAAATTTTAATTGACTGTTTAATATGAAATGACTAGTTTTAAGGACGAAATCAGGCTAATAATTATGCTATTATATATACCGCTGCTGGCAATCGAGAGAGGGGGCATAACAAAAGCAGAGCAGCGCCGCGGTGAAATTAAAAATGAAAATAAAAATAAATAAACTATAATTTATGCGACGTCACCGCACTGGTCGCTGTAATTGAGTGCATCGTTAGTCGGTTGATGGAGCGCACAGTGGGTCGAATGGGGCGATAGGGGGAGGGGGGAAGGAGGCGGAATGCGGACCCAGGGGGCGGTGGTCTGCATTAGCTGCCACTACCGATACCGATGCCAACAACTAATTTAATGCCAGCGTCAGCAACATCAGCAACAACAAGCGACGGCAACATGTCAACAGCAACGCCTGACCAAGGATGAGTGGGAAGAGTTGAAAAAGGGGGGAATATATATATATATAGGGGAAAAGGGGGGGGCTATACACTTTGCATACTTAATGTCTGGCCACCACAGCCCACCCCATTGTGGGCAGATATTTTATGAATCTGCGGCTGAAATCATTTTTGCCACACATTCACCTCGCCTCGACCACAAATCAGCAGAATGAGAAATTTGATGGTAATTAATATTGTAAGCGAAATTAATGGCAATGCGACACTACACAAAATCATATAGCATATATGCATATATGCAGCAGAAATACAAGAGAGTGTTTCAGTTTCAGACAATTGGAACACTTCAGCTGGGGATGGCAATCAAAATAACAGAGATCGAGGGAAGAGATCAAAGGGGACTTCCATCATTCTGCACATATTTGTCTGCTGACTAACAGGGAAAATGAATAAATTTATGGGTAATAAAGCAATTAGGGAGTGTTTTTGGGGGAACTTAACAAAGGAAACATCAAATATCTCAAAAATATTATACTATTTATAAACAGAAGTCTGACTTATAAAGTGATCTAATAGATTTATAAATTGTTTGCCAATAAAAAGTTATTTAATAAGTTAAATGGAATATTTTTATGTTTAAAATTGTGAGAATATTAATAATTGATTTTGAACCCATTTAGTATTTTATTTTAAAAGATTAGAAAAAGTTTATTGAACACCTTCCAAATCAGAAGCTTTAAGATTAAACATATCTGATTGGTCATACTGATTTTTCTCATTTATCATTTATACCTTTGCCTCAAGTGAAGTTCCCATACTCCCCGCAGAATTAATTTCGCAATCATCAATGGGAAGATATGGGAAGACAACAATATGGGTAATCGCCTCATTGGCTGCTCCCTTGATTGCCCTTCCTGGGAAGCTTCATCAAGAGTTGGTTCGGTAGCTGGCCAACTTCCTCCTCATCGCTGCCTTTGCAGGTGTTTCACGTGGCACTGTTCCAATTTGTGAGCGAATATTGTTTTCGATTGGGTCCAGTGCACGATTTTTAATCATTACGGAGGCGATCTTCATATGAGCCCGTGTCCAGGTTCCTCTGCCCCCGAATGCCGATACAAATTGCCTAGCCGAGAGTTGGTAGCCCATTCCACATCCCCTCCAGCACCGATCTGCCATTAGCTCGTAGCTCCCCCTCTCGATTATTGCATTTTCGCCAGGTAATGAAGTTCAACAAAAAGTTAATCGGAAAAGCGCAGGCCCCGCCACTAAATAGACAAATGATACGGAACGGAAGCTGCTCCAGACAGCCTCTCTCCTCTTTTTTTCCATCTGATCTCCTCGCTTTTACTATCCACCTCCGCGGAAAGCACTGAGAAAAAATATCAGAAGATTGGAAATACTAACTATTTTTGATTAAGATATTAAAATCCCCAAACTTCTTTGCCAGGCATAATTATATTTAATTAAACATATTTTACTTATGTTTTATATCTTACATATTAAATGTAGACACTTAAAACTATTACTGATATAAATATAAATTCAGTTTTTTTGGCAAGTCAAATTATTTAAAGCATTTTCCTTTGTGCATTTACCCTTCTGGCCAATTGTGCGGTGGGTTTTGCTTGGCACATTAGCGGCTATAAATTGTCTTAATGCCCGCACACAAATGCAGATCTTCAGAGGCAGGAATCTGGAGTCCAGAGGGGCCGAAAGATCGAAAGAGATCGGGGAGGAGCAGACACCTTGAATGGCGGCAAAGATCAGACTCGAGATTCAGGCGAGAGTTGCGAACTTTAGCCAGGCTGCGATTGTCTCAGTCTCAGTCTCAGTTGCAGTCTCCGTTGCAGTCTGCACTCTGATTCAGATCTTCATACATGATCATATAACAAGAGGACAAGGGGAACTTTAATGAGCGACGCCAGAAATACCCTATACAAATAATGGTAACGAAATAACAACCATTATTAGTCTTAGATAATTACAAATGTTGAGTCTTCCAAACAACATTTGAGGATGAGTAATGATGTATATGGCATAAAGATTTTAACCATTAACCGCAGATAATTAGAACCTTTGAATTTTCCTAACCACTATAAGCAAAGTTTGTTTATGAATTGTATAACTACCAATTAAAAGTATATTTATAAAAAAAAGCCTTTGTTTTGTATATGTAATTATTTTATTTTTAAGTCGGAATATTGTGATAATAA